TTGAGACTTTGCTGAAGTTGCTTATCAGTTTCAGGAGTTTTTGGGCTGAGGCAATGGGGTCTTCTAGGTATACTATCATGTCGTCTGCAAATAGAGACAATTTGGCTTCCACCTTTCCTATTTGAATACCCTTTATTTCTTTTTCTTGCCTGATTGCTCTGGCTAGAACTTCCAGTACTATATTGAATAGGAGTGGTGAGAGAGGGCATCCTTGTCTAGTGCTGGATTTCAAAGGGAATGCTTCCAGTTTTTTCCCATTCAGTATGATATTGGCTGTTGGTTTGTCATAAATAGCTTTTATTACTTTGAGATACGTTCCATCAATACCAAGTTTATTGAGGGTTTTTAGCATAAAGGGCTGTTGAATTTTGTCAAATGCCTTCTCTGCGTCAATTGAGATAATCATGTGGTTTTTGGTTTTGGTTCTGTTTATGTGGTGAATTACATTTATAGACTTGCATATGTTGAACCAGCCTTGCATCCCCGGGATGAATCCTACTTGATCATGATGGATAAGTTTTTTGATTTGCTGTTGCAGTCAGCTTGCCAGTATTTTATTGAAGATTTTTACATCTATGTTCATCATGGATATTGGCCTGAAGTTTTCTTTTCTTGTTGAGTCTCTGCCGGGTTTTGGGATCAGAATGATGTTGGTCTCGTAAAATCATTTGGGAAGGATTCCCTCTTTTTGGATTATCTGTAATAGTTTCAGAAGGAATGGTACCAGCTCCTCTTTGTGTGTCTGGTAGAATTTGGCTGTGAACCCGTCTGGACCGGGGCTTTTTTTTGTGTGGTAGGCTCTTAATTGCTGCCTCGACTTCTGACCTTGTTATTTGTCTATTCATAGTTTCAGCTTCCTCCTGGTTTAGGCTTGGGAGGACACAGGAGTCCAGGAATTTATCCATTTCTTCCAGGTTTACTAGTTTATGTGCATAGAGTTGTTTGTAATATTCTCTGATGATGGTTTGAATTTCTGTGGAATCTGTGGTGATTTCCCCTTTATCGTTTATTATTGCATCTATTTGGTTGTTCTCTCTTTTCTTTTTTATCAGTCTGGCTAGTGGTCTGTCTATTTTGTCGATCTTTTAAAAAAAACAGCTCTTGGATTAATTGATTTTTTGAAGGGTTTTTTGTGTCTCTATCTCCTTCAGTTCAGCTCTGATCTTAGTTATTTCTTGTCTTCTGCTGGGTTTTGAGTTTTTTTTTATCTTGCTCCTCTAGCTCTTTCAATTTTGATCATAGGGTGTCAATTTTGGATCTCTCCACTCTTCTCATGTGGGCACTTATTGCTATATATTTTCCTCTGGAGACTGCTTTAAATGTGTCCCAGAGATTCTGGTATGTTGTGTCTTCGTTCTTGTTGGTTTCGAAGAACTTCTTTATTTCTGCCTTCATTTCATTGTTTATCCAGTCAACATTCAAGAGCCAGTTGTTCAGTTTCCATGAAGCTGTGCAGTTCTGGGTTAGTTTCTGAATTCTGAGTTCTAACTTGATTGCACTATGGTCTGAGAGACTGTTTGTTATGATTTCAGTTGTGTTTTGCTTGCATTTGCTGAGGAGTGCTTTACTTCCAATTATGTGGTCAATTTTAGAGTAGGTGTGATGGGGTGCTGAGAATAATGTATATTCTGTGGATTTGGGGTGGAGAGTTCTGTAAATGTTTATCAGGTTTGCTTGTTCCAGGTCTGAGTTCAAGCCCTGGATATCCTTGTTAATTTTCTGTCTGGTTGATCTGTCTAATATTGACAGTGGAGTGTTAAAGTCACCCAATATTATTGTGTGGGAGTCTAAGTCTCTTTGTAAGTCATTAAGAACTTGCCTCAGGATGTTATCCGCATTTTAGAAAGATCAATTCAGAAGCATTGTGGGGTGTGGGTTGAAAGAGGGGAAATAGATGTAGGGTAAGCTAGATGATAGATGGCATGGGTTTGACCTAAGGCAGTAGTTCTGTTAACCGGGGAAAAGGAGAGCATGCCAGAGAGAATTGGGAACTGAACGAGCAGGACTGGGGAATCGGTGCCCTGATAATTTACTTCACCAAGCATAATTAGGCAACAATATTTTCTATAGTATTTTTTTTTGAGACAGTTTCGCTCTTGTTGCTCAGGCTAGAATGTAATGGTGTGATCTTAGCTCACCACAACCTCCACATCCCAGGTTCAAGTGATTGTCCTGTACCACCATGCCCACCTAATTTTGAATTTTTAATAGAGACGGGGTTTCTCCTTGTTGGTCAGGTTGGTCTTGAACTCCTGATCTCAGGTGATCTTCCCGCCTCAGCCTCCCAAAGTGCTGGGATTACAGGCATGAACCACGGCACCTGGAAAATTAGGCAGAAACATTTTCATAAGGACCTTAAATCTAGATAGAGAGTGAATCAGCATCTCCATCTAGAAGAAAAATCTTGAATGCAACTCCGCAAGAATGAAATTCTAAAAATTAAAAGAAACATTCATTACCAGTTTGGGCTAGGGTTTAATTTTAGGGGTGCAACTGTGGTTAATTAAAAGGGGAGCCTATTTTCACTTCTATTTAATGCTCCTTTCCATTTCTGAAATACTGAAATCTTCCTTAACTTTGCAAAGAGTTTCTATTCTAAAGCAAGAGCTAACATTATATATCAGTGTGAAACACTGGAGCTCCCCTGGAAATCTAAAGAAAATCAAAGTGCTTTAAAAGCCCAATATTATCGTTACTTTTATTGTGACTTTTACACACATGTATTATTTTTGTTTTCCAGAGAGAGTCGTGTATAAAGCAAAGCAAACAAACTTTTACAGAAGGGTTTGCATTCTGGTCTTGGAGAGCAGCAACGAAGGGTGCTCTCAGGGGTCTGTGGCACTTTGCAGCCTGGTTTAAGGGTGAGGACACTGGGGACAGTGCTGGAGGCAGCTACTCTAGGGCAGTCAGATCCCTGGCAGTGCAGAGGCAAAAAATGGGGGTTTCTGAACACCTCCGTTACTCATTAGTGAATTTGGGAAGGGGAACACCTACTTGTAAAGGAATCTGTTGAACTGGTGAGAGGAAGCCCCAGCAGGAGAGTCTGGTGACCAAAAGTGTCCCCAGCATTAGAGGGGTTTCACATTTTTGTCTCCTGAAGGAATGGCTGCTGCTACTCCCTGGCTGGCTTCTAGGGGCGCTCTGTCTTCACAGCCGTCCTCGCCAACTTACGTGTAGTCTTTTTCTTCTTGAGCCAAGAAAAGAGTGGTAGCATTTTTTTCAGACATATTGAATCAAGACACAATATTTTTAAAATAAAAATAATTTTTTTACAGACGCCTATATGGCATGGATGCAGTTATTTCTATATTTAATGTTATTTTGTTTCTAAAGTAATGTATTTGTTATTTATCCTCCTACTCACTACCTGACTCTGAAGGAGTTGGCGTGTTTTGCAATAAAAGACAGATGCTATGGAAACATTAAGATAAAGAAAAAGAACACAGTCCATGAACAGGATTTTAGGAGAGCAGATAGGAATTCAAAGATAGTTGCTAGAGCTGAGGGCATTAAAAAAATAAAAACTCTTAAATTTTTTGGAAGCAAGTAAAAAAAGAAATTTTCTATTATATGATCAAATAAAATTTACCAGTTTCTCAAAAGATATAAACGTCAGAAAAGTTTACAGAGCATACAATTTTTTAAGCCAAATAAAGACATAAATAAATAAATAGAAGTGTTGACTGACGTCTGGTCGCAGGTGGTTAGACCACAGAGTTCCCCAGACACGCAGACAGAAGCTTGCGTCTTAGTTTCTCCCGGTTCCCTGTTAAAAGTGCTGCCTCTCACTGGACAGGTGAGTGTGCTGCTGCATTAGCATCTGGAGAGATGCTTACAGGCTCCAGCTGATTAGCAGAGCAGGGTAATTGCTGTTTCTTATGCTAATGAGGGATCACGTTCTCCCTAGCTCAAATCATCAGCTTTCCTGCTGGCCCCAGGGGACTCTCAACTCCTTTCTTGGGTGCACAATTTGGAGGTGTGACCTTGGACAACAGAGCTCCCAAAAGTCAAAAGGCTGCTTGCATGTGTTAAAATTATTTGTGCAATATCATGTGGGAATTGTCTATAGGTGAAGACAGTTTTCTAGAAAGAAGGCATCCAGTTTTTATTATGTTTTTAAGTTAGCTCATAACTTCAAAGAGATAAGGAGAATTAACTCAGGATTTCATCACTACATCTGTGATATTGCATAAGTTTCACTATGAAGTAACATGCATTGAAGTAGGGTGGTCTTCATTTCACCTCGTACTGTGGACTATACCTTCTACAATTGTTGCTCAGGATAGACAGGGATCCTTCCTAATAGTGTCTCTAGCCCCTTCTCTGCTCTTTTCTGTAATATCAAATCATAATAAAACCACAGTGAATATATCTATAGTGCTTTATGGTTTGTAAAGTTTATGTAAACATATCATTAATGTAAGCTTCACAATGACTCTGGGAGGTAAGCACTATAGTCTCCATCTTACAGATAAGAAACCTCAAGTTAAGAGATTTGCCATGACTGGTTCAAGGTCTCAGTAAAGGTAGCAGATTCTGGGCCCGTGAAGGAACCTGAATCCTGTTATATGTTTACAGTGTATTCTTCTCACTGGGAACCATGACGAGATTGGAAAAGCTGGACTTTCCACATAGCTGAAACCATCCCAAGCCATTAATCCCTCTTCCTGTTGGCTCATTTGATGCTCTGAAATGTGTTCTCAGCTTCTCAGTATATACAACACAAATTACTGCTTACAGCATCTATAGAAAAGGCGATTTTGCTAGATGGTAGAGCAAGACATTGGCATATGTGACATACATTAAACCTTGGATACATAGACTCCTGTCCTGGTCACAGAGTTGCCCACAATGGCGAGTACAATGGGGGTGGGGTGACGCTGGTGGACAGCGGAGCTTCCATTTATTTTGGATGGACCTTAGCAGCTTTCGATCATTTGCACAAAAGGATTTGACTCTCTGCCCATCAGAAAGCACTTCTTCTGAATTTCCCCAAATAGGAGGCCTACAAGACACGTGAAGATATCATCAGGCTGGTGGGGGAGCTGGTGAGCATCATCGGGGCTGTGATCATCCTGCTCCTAGAGGTGAGGTGCAGGCGGGGTCCAGGCTAAGCCCCTCCCATCTAAGGCCCAGACTGAACCACAGTCCACATTGTTTTTTTGCTTTGCTGTCCTCTCCCCAGATCCCAGACATCTTCAGGGTTGGTGCATCTCGATACTTTGGACAGACGATTCTTGGGGGGCCATTCCATGTCATCATGTGAGTATCCCCTCATTCCAGCCCCCTGCCTTTCCTTACCAGAATTGTTTCCCATCTCCCAGTTCACTCTCTGAGATCTAGACCTCAGCTCACTTTCACTCCAAGGATTTCTCTCTAGTGGGCTTGTAGGTGTGACTGTATGTGTGTTTCAGGTGTAAAGACTAGGCCTGAGCGTGTGGGTACCATTGTGCTGTAGGAACCTAGAATAGTTTCAGTCTTGTCTCTCACTTACTGCTCCCTGCTCCCCCAGCATCACCTATGCCGCCCTGGTGCTGGTGACCATGGTGATGCGGCTCACCAACACCAATGGGGAGGTGGTGCCCATGTCCTTTGCCCTGGTGCTGGGCTGGTGCAGTGTCATGTATTTCGCCCGAGGATTCCAGATGCTGGGCCCCTTCACCATCATGATCCAGAAGGTCAGTGCTTTTCCACAGCTTCCTCCGCCTCAGGCACAGGGCCTTCCCAGAAAGGGGGATGGCGGTAGAGTAGAGCTGGTAGAACCATGGGGGCCTCCTGACCTGTTAGCATTAGCTGCTCAGAGGCAGTGGAAAAACAATCATCCCACCCTTTCTGCCTTGTCTGTTTCCTGCAGATGATTTTTGGAGACCTAATGCGTTTCTGCTGGCTGATGGCTGTGGTCATCTTGGGATTTGCCTCCGGTAAGGCACCACTCCCACCTCTACTAGATCAGCAGATCCAGTTCTCCGGAAAGTTTACTCTCATTCTTGCTCTCAGTTCACATTTGCACTTCATTTGGCCCTTTTTTCTTCTCCTGTTGGAAAGTAAGTCTAAAAGCACACCCATATTTATAGGACCACGGGCCACTCAGGTTGGCCTAGAAGGTAAAGCCATGTGTTCAGGGTCAATAACATTCACATTCATTAACTGCCCTGGAAGGGCTTTAAAGGAGAGACAGAAAAGACCTTTGGTGAGAGCGGGGCATTAAACAAGAAAGACTGGCCAGTCGTGGATCTCAGAAAACCACGTGGACAAACAGATCGTGCCACGCTTAACTCTCCTGTGTTTACAATGCAGGAGAGGAAACAAAGCACTCAACAACATATAACTTGCTTTCTTTCTATATGTGGTCATTTAAAGTTGAGAAAAGTCATGAATAATTATAAAAAGGAGGTGCAGAAAAACAGCTTGGATGGTTTGAAGAAGGACAGAGAAAATAAAAAAGAAGAGTTGTTAAAAGAGACTGGGAGATCAGGGACACACAGGCACCCAGTCAAGGCACAGCCAGTCAGAGTGCCAGGGAGCTAAAGAAAGGAGCAGCACAGCAAGAAACTGCAGGTAGGTAGAGAGAGCCAGAGGGAAGGAGAGGGTGGGGGGACGAGCGGAAGAGAGTCCTTAGAGAGGGGCAGAAAGAGGAAGGCCTAGGTCTGAAGAGTGAAAAGTGAGTAACTCAAATTCAGCCCTCAGTGTCTGCAACTGTTAGACAAGAGGAGGTACTAGATGGCCTATGAAGATCCCCCATCTCTAAAAAGCAGTGACTCAGTGCAGAGGACTCTATTACTGTCCTCAAGAATTTCCCATTTAATGGGGATTCCCCCAAAACAATAGACCAAAATAACAACAACCAAAAACAGTAACAACAACAAAAAACCCCACCAAAATCTGAAATGTGAAAGGGTAAAACTATGCCTTTCTGCCTGTTTGGAGTTCTCCACCCCAAGCCCTCATGTATCCTTTCCTCCCACTCCCTGGCCATCTGCATATACATAGAACACATTACAAAATGAGGTGATGGTCACAGAGTGGCCCTCTGCAGATGTCCTCTATCCAGAACTCTCTAAACAATCACTTCTTGGCCATTGCACTTGCTTTTCTCTTAAATGAATAAGGAGGCAATGCTTTGTTAAAGACCCCGTTTCTTTTCTGCTCTTGGAATCATCTTGTGCTTCAGTTCCCCATGCAGAGAGGAGGCTTTCAAATGGTCTAGGGCTGTCCTTAAGTTCCAGTGTCACTGCTATCCAGTAGGCTCCACCCTGATCAGGAATCCGTTTCCTGTGATGGTTCAGGTTCATCCAGGGAATGTCAGAGTGACGGACGGTTATCTAGAGGGCATCATGGTGAAAAAGGGGCTCTTCTTTTAGCCTGTTGATGTGTTCTGTTCTTTAAAAATCGTTGAAGATTCCATGCATTCTTGTAATAACTTGCCTTTTAAGTATTTGGTTTTCTAAAATGTAGAAACCAGTTAGGTGACCTATTATCCATTATCCATACACACATGTACACACTGCACACACACACAATTTTGTTGTCGTTAAATTACTGATTATTATTACCATGACCATTACCCAGAGTGGTGAACTTAATCTTCGGACATGTTAGGGTTAGACAGTTCCACAGGAAAGATTTATCTGTACGTAATTATCTGTGCATGTGTGCAAGTGTATTTAGACAAATATGTAAATCAGAGATAGAATAAGTGCTTATCAGGTCCATGCTTATTGTGATAACTCCATTATCCCATCTCCATGTCCTCTTCCTGGGCGGAGCAGCGTTCTATATCATTTTCCAGACAGAGGACCCAACCAGTCTGGGGGAATTCTATGACTACCCCATGGCACTGTTCAGCACCTTCGAGCTTTTTCTCACCGTTATTGATGCACCTGCCAACTACAATGTGGACTTGCCCTTCATGTTCAGCATTGTCAATTTCGCCTTCGCCATCATTGCCACACTGCTCATGCTCAACCTGTTCATCGCCATGATGGGTGACACCCACTGGAGGGTGGCCCAGGAGAGGGATGAGCTCTGGAGGGCCCAGGTGAGTTCTTTTGTGTTAGTCTTGCTAAGAGGCAGGAGATGGAGAGAAAAATCCAAGTGGGATATGTTATGGTCGATCATTCTTAAAAGAGTCACACAAAAATCGAGTGAGGCTGTCACCTCAACAGAGGTTTGCATACATCAGAGGTACATGTGGACAAATTGAAGGGATGGAAGAGGATTAAAGGAAGGATACTGGCACGGGGTGGGATAGTTGCTCACAGGTGAAAAGTCGATCAGGGAGTCATCCTTTAGTCCAGTGGGAACTAGAAGTGGCCTTGTTCTGGTATATTCCACTTTTTCATTTGGACCATCTATTTGCTTCTATAAATCCCTGTTTCTCCGTGATCTTTTCTTTATACCATAGGCTAACAAATATTACAGTTGGAAGTGGCCCTCAAACTGACCTCCTACTTAACATAATAGTCATTTATTGGTCAGAAGGTTGTTCAATATCTTCTTTTATGCTGATTAGGACCTCATTATCTTGTAAATTCAGGTAGAGGGTAGGAGGAGGGGAGTTTTCTTATATTTTTAAAGATTTTGTTCTTAGACGTTCATGTCGCATTGAGCTAAAGCCTATATTCTTAAAATTTCATCCTTTGGCCCCAGTCTTTCCTTCTCATATAACACAGAACACATTCTTCCATATAAGCACCATTCAAATATTAGAATAAAGACATCGTTTTTCACTTAGCCTTTTTTTTTTTTTTTTTTTTTTTTTTTTTTGAGACGGAGTTTCGCTCGTTACCCCGGCTGGAGTGCAATGGCACGATCTCGGCTCACCGCAACCTCCATCTCCTGGGTTCAGGCAATTCTCCTGCCTCAGCCTCCTGAGTAGCTGGGATTACAGGCGCACGCCACCATGCCCAGCTAATTTTTTGTATTTTTAGTAGAGACGGGGTTTCACCATGTTGACCAGGATGGTCTCGATCTCTTGACCTCGTGATCCACCCGCTCGGCCTCCCAAAGTGCTGGGATTACAGGCGTCAGCCACCGCGCCCAGCCCTCACTTAGATGTTTTAATCATTTAATGAAGATCATGTAGATGCTGCTGTGTGTTGGGAAATGTCTAGGAGCTGGAGCATGAGCACAAACACAACAGACACCATCTGTGACCTCTTGGAGCTGACGGTTTAGTTGGAAAGACAGGCATGAAGCGAATGACTTCACAAAAAGCCGTAAAATTACAGCAGCAAAAGTGCCATAGAGAATGTAAGGTGCTACGAAAAGGATGCAGCAGGGGAATCAGAATGAGGAGTGAAGACATGCTTTCCTGAGGGAGTAGCATTTAAGATGAGAACCCAAATGTGAGCAAACGAGCTAGTTAAGAGGAAAGACGGAAAGGGATGGAGGTCAAGGTTAGTATCGATCGATTAGGACTCTTGGCTACAGGGACAGAAAACCAAACTCAGACTTTTAGATTTTTAAACAGAGCGGGGAGGATGTGTTCATTCTTGTAAATGAAAAGTTTAGAGAACTAAACTAACTTTAGAGGTATCTGGCCAGAATGCAGATCCCCATCTCACACATGACATCAGTTCCTCTGTTCCGCTCTCTTCTGACCTCTCTCCTAAGGCAAGCTCTCCCATCCTGTTAGTGAGATCACTTCTAGAAGCTCCAAGGTCTAAAAAGAATGAGGCTGTGCATCGCAACACACAGCTCCACGGGCCCATTCACATGTTCTGTGAGGCTTCTGGTGCCAGGCAATACTGCAGGCTTTGAAAGAATGCCTTTCCCCCTGTCAATTACTTCCATGTTCCATCTTGTGGGAACACATTTGGGTCATAGGCACATTGTTGAATCTAAAGAAAGACCAAGGACTGGATAGTGGGGGTGTTGGTGATGGTGGTGGAGGGGAGGTTTGGGGAGGAACAGACTAATAAAGCAGAACTGTGTGAAGCCCAGTCCACTCAAACCAATGTCCTGAGAGTGAGGGAGCAATTCCCTAAATGAAGAATGGGTGCTGTTACCTGAGGAGGGAGGTGGCTCCATGATGGCTCAGGAAGAACAATAGACATTACTTTCACGGCAAAGAAGAAAACATGTCCAGGGAAAGAGAACAGAATGACTGGAAGTCCTGCCTAGGAGGGAACTTAGTGCAACTAAAACAGAGAAGTGTAGAGTAACCAGAGAGATAGAGAGTAGAAAAATGTGAGTTATTTATAACATAAATAATTCCCTCCGTTAGTAAGCCTTCCTGGCTCCAACCTAGTGTGTGTTTGTTTTTTAAGATGGAGTCTCACTCTGTCACCCAGGCTGGAGTGCAGTGGTGCGGTCTCGGCTCACTGCAACCTCCACCTCCCAGGTTCAAGCGATTCTCCTGCCTCAGCCTCCTGAATAGCTGGGACTACAGGTGTGTGCCACCACGTCCAGCTAATTTTTTGCATTTTTAGTAGAGATGGAGTTTCACCATGTCAGCCAGGATGGTCTCGATCTCCTGACCATCCCGATCGTCCCTCGGCCTCCCAAAGTGCTAGGATTACAGGTGTGAGCCACCGTGCCCAGCCCCTACCTATTCTGATTGCACCCTTTATTCATGCGCTGATAGATCATGGTTCCTTTGAAACTAAAATAGTCCCCAGCATGACTGGAGCAATACAGTACAAAGTGAGGCCATGCCTTTCCTTACTTGGACATAATGCTAAGGGCACCTAAAACAGAGGCAGGTCTTTTAGCAGATACACAACTGGCCCTTATTAAGCTTGTGATCAGCCAGCACCCCCACATCTTTGCTCCATGACTCGCTTATCTAAGCTTCCTAAATGTAAGTGTAGGGCCTTAGATTTGGTTTACTTAAATTTCTTGTCATTGATTTTACACCCTCATTTCAGTCTAGTGAGATCATTTTCTATTACTTGTTGCCCCACATATTACATATCCCTCCTAGTTTCGTGTCACAGGCACATTTGATAAGCTTGTCTTCCACGTTTCATCTAAGTAGTTAATGAAGGCTGAGCAAAGGACAGAACGCGCAGTGGACTTGCTACTGGAAATTTCCCGGCCAACTTTGCAGTCATGAATCAACCCTTTTCCTTCTTAAGATACAGATATTTAATTTGCTGAAAATTCCCTGAACGGCAACAGTATCAATTCATACCCAGGATCATAGAGATTCTATTTAATCATTTTATTTAAATCAAGATAACTGGTCTGTGGCTTTTCTGTGAAAAAGAAATTGAGATTAGTTTGGAGTGACTCATTTTCCATGAGTCTGAATAGTAATGTAAGGGCCGCTATTTTTTCAAAACGCTCACCAAAATATCCTCTCTCATTTCTCGATGAGTGAAGCTGGTAGCACGGTGCCTGGTGTAGGCTGGGGGGTGACTAGGTGGCTGTTCTCACCACCCACCTCTAGTGTCCTGTCTTCACAGGCTGCCTTTGGTTCCTTTGCCAGTGGCCTCAGTGCCTCTCTGACCCTCATGGCTCTGGCTGAGTTCTTTCTGTCCCTCTTTCCTCCTTCCAGGTCGTGGCCACCACAGTGATGCTGGAGCGAAAGCTGCCTCGCTGCCTGTGGCCTCGCTCCGGGATCTGCGGGTGCGAGTACGGGATGGGGGACCGCTGGTTCCTGCGGTGAGTGACGGTGTGCGCATGCAAAGCTGCAGATGTGTAGAAGGCCACGGATGGAAGGGTGACAGAGAGGTGTCCTGGAGCCTGCCTTGGCCTGTCTAGGGGAGGGGGCTGGAGCCAAAGTGGAGGGGTAAGAAGAATGCTGTGCGTACCTCAGGGCAGCCACATGTAATAGGTTGTACGCATGTGTCCATCCTCAGGTGTCAGCATGGGTTACCAAGTTGGCTGTAGTCTTGTTCCGAGCTGACCTCCATTTCCAGTGTACTTTTGGCTTGGATCTAACTTCCTCCTTTACAGTCTGCCCTCATCTCCTGATGTGACTCCTCTCTCCTCACATTTACTTCTTTGCATCTTGTCATCCTTGTGACACACTTATCTATTCGTTGGCTCTGTTTTCTTTCACATTCCCACGTATTAAGCAGCACATCACACACACACACACACACACACACACACACACACACGTGTGCATCCTACCACCCTGCAAGCCCTGATTTCTCAGCCTTGATCATCTCTATCCCAGGTTAGCCTCCACTCCAATCACCTCCCTTCACTTGATCCCAGAGACTCTTCCTGCTTCAACTCTACTCCCTTCTTTCTCCTTCTCTCATGACTCTGCTTTCTAAATGTTCACCTCTGCTTCTCCCCTGCCCATCTCTCCCAACCTGGACTGAGCCCTTTCCCCTTTCCCCTCATCAGGGTTGAGAACCACAATGATCAGAATCCTCTGCGAGTGCTTCGCTATGTGGAAGCATTCAAGAACTCAGACAAGGAGGATGACCAAGAGCATCTTTCTGAGAAACAGCCTTCTGGGGCTGAGAATGAGACTCAAGCCAGAGCCTCCCTGGCCTTCCCAAATTCCTCCCTATCCCGGACCACGTCCCAGAGCAGTAGTCACCGAGGCTGGGAGATCCTTCGTCGAAACACCCTGGGGCACTTGAATCTTGGACTGAACCTTAGTGAGGAGGACGGAGAGGAGGTCTACCATTTCTGATTAGCATCGCTGTCACTCTTGACCTTACTCCCAGTTGGCCTGGGGGTGGGGACAGAAACAGAGACATCTGTCTATGCAAGTGTCTAACTTCTGTGCCTATTAATCATGGGAAGATGGGACAGGACAAGCCGTAAAGGGCCATGTCTCACACTTCACATCACAATTTCTGGCAATGGACAACGGTCATCTATTGTCTTACATATTTTCTGGGTTCTTGGAAGTCCCACATCTCAGGAAAAAGGAAGTTGGCAACTAAAGACATGTGGTAGGGATGCTAGATTAATGTCAGGACCATTTCTCTTCTTCCCCACACAGTCCCTAGAAAGTAGTAAGCTGTGTCCAGGTGTGGCGGGTCATGCCTGTAATCCCAGCACTTTCGGAGGCAAAGGCAGGTGGATCATGAGGTCAGGAGTTTAAAACAAGCCTGGCCAAGATAGTGAAACCCTGTCTCTACTAAAAATACACACACACACAAAATTTAGCCAGTCCTGGTGGTGGGTGCCTATAATCCCAGCTTCTCAAGAGGGTGAGGCAGAGAATTGCTTGAACCCGAGAGGCAGATGTTACAGTGAGCCAAGATTGCCCCACTGCACTACAGTCTGGGAGACAGAGCAAGACTCCAGCTTAAAAAAAAATTAAAAAGTAAGCTATGAGGCTTTTCTGGCTCCTCAGGGCTCCATGTGGGGAGGGCCAGACATGGCTTAGAGGTTGTGGCCCTTCTTTTTTTTCCTCTCCCGTTGGACTGTCTCCCCACTGAGCACCCAAACAGCAACTACAATGAGAAAATGTCCTTATTCTTGCCTTCTTTAATTTTTTATTGAGGCACATGTCACATAAAATTTACTGTGTTACCTGTTTTAGATGCACAATTAAGTGGCATTAAGTACATTCACATTGTTGTGTAATCATCACACCATTATTCATTTATGAAACTTTTTCATCACTCCGAACTGAAACTCTAAGCTCCATTGAACAGTAACTCTCCAGCTCTCTCCCTGCCCCAGCTCCTGATAACCAATATTCTACTTTCTGTCTACAAATTTAACTGTTCTAGGTACCTTATACAAGTGGGATTCTGCAATCTTAGTCCACAATCTGCCAAATTTTGTTTATCCATCTACGAATGGACATTTGAGTTTTTTCCACCTTTTGGCTGTTGTGAATAATGCTGCTGTGAACCTGATGTACAGATATCTGTTACTTTGGGCATACACCTAAAAATGGAATTGCTAGATAATTCTTGTTTAATTTTATGAGGAACTGCCCTACTGTTTTTCACAGTAGCTTTTACCATTTTACATTCCCTTCTAATGAGTGTGAAGTGGTTTCACATGTAGTTTTGATTTGCCTTTCCCTAACCACTAATGATAGATACTGAACGTGTTTGTAGGTACCTACTTATTAGACATTTATATATCTTCTTTGGAGAAATGTCTCTTTGGTTTATTTTTCCATTTTTGACTTAGGTTTTTTTTTGTTGCTGTTGTTGTTGAATTGCCCTATCTTTGCTTCTTGAGGCTCAAAGTGTGAAGTGTTTGCATCTTGCTGTGTTTTTAAGTATGTACGGCAAATTATGCCTATATTTGAATGGCCTAATCATTTATTTTCTAGGACCCTCCTACTCTGTCCCTAGCTAATCATCCTTGTGTCTGGGGGCAACAGGCTCCTGCTTGGACCCCTGACATAGCCATCCTCCATTCCCATCTCCTTCTGCCCCACACTGAGCTGTGAAAGGACCAGCAACAATAGAGGAAGGGTCATCCCTCTCCAGGAGGGAAATTAGGAATCAGGGGTCCAGGGCACCCATTATAGGTGCTCATGGGTAATCTCTCTTGTGTCTGCAGCACTGTACTTCTAATTCTAGCTCCTCTCATCACCCTCACCAAAAATCCGTGACAGCTTTTCAGAGGACTGTGGTCTGGGATAGCAGAGATATAAGTGGGATTTGTGAAACCACAGACCGTTCATTCAGATACCACCAGCTCAGGGCTGAGTGCCCAACAGTGACGGATCACACAATGTGTTATACACATGCTCACACACACTGTGTTATACACATGCTCACACACACTGTGTAACACACATGCTCACACACACTGTGTTATACATATGCTCACACACACTGGGACACACTGGTGGCAGGGTATGTACAACTGCTCAGTTGCCATCATTCTTCTTTATTATCTTCATAGTGGAAGCTCTTTAAAACTCTGCTTCTGTAGTCCTTTGTGTTTGTTTTTGTTTTCTGAGACAGTTTTGCTCTGTTGCCCATGCCGGAGTACAGTGGTGCGATCACTGCTCACAGCAGCCTTGATCTCCTGGACACAAGTAATCTTTTCCCCTCAGCCTTCTAAGTAGGTGGTACTACATGTGTGCACCACAACACCCAGCTAATTTTTGTATTTTTTTTTAAGAGATGGGGTTTTGCCACGTTGCCCATGGCTAGTCTTGAATTCCTGGTCTCAAGCAATCCACCTGCCTCATCCTCCCAAAGTGCTGGGATTATAGGCATGAGCCACTGCACTCAGCCCTATAATCCTTTTAATACTTGCTTAACTTGCCTATAAACTTACATGTTTTTTGATTTGAGCCCTTGGCATACCCCCAGATATTGTCCTTTGTCCTGGTCTGTGCATCTGGTATGTAATTAAAATTTCTTACCACCTAGGTTTTTCACTAAAAATAAGAGTTACTAAGAGTTAACATTATAAATTAATGAATGTAATTAAAACTGTTAGGTGCAAACAATGTGTATTGAAGAGGTAGGATGTAGTTTTTTTTTTTTTAACAAATGTTAAAATAAGTCATGAGAGTGTGGCTCTTTTAAAAAAAAAGGTGTTTTTTTCAAGTTAGAAGATTTTTCTTTTTTTGAGATGGGGTTTCACCACGTTGGTCAGGCTGGTCTCGAACTCCTGACCTCAAGTGATCCACCCTCCTCGGCCTCCCAAAGTGTTGGGATTACAAGCATGAGCCACAGTGCCCAGCCCTAGTTTAGAAGATTTTAAGGATTGTTTCAAGTCAACAGAAAGGACAAAACTGAAGTTTTAAGCAAGCTGTAGAAGGTTTTTGGAAGATTGATCTTATAAAAGGAATTTTGTGTGTGATCAAGTGTGGCTAAAATTTTAAGAGAATTATTTAGTTTTTATATAAATTGAGCATTTATATAAACAGCACATTGATGAAGGGATCTGAATCTGAGCACTTGTGGAGGATAATAGGATTTTCTTGGAATATTGATCTGTTCTTTAACATGAATTTATAAAGTTTATAAAAGTCTTGTGGAAACCTTACCTTATAATCAAACTAATTAAAATTTGATAGATTTGCTTATAAGATTCTATTAAAATTAGCTTTAGAATTAATAATACAGTAATAGAATAAATAAAATTTGGTTTTATCTTTTAAATAAGATTTTTATATAATATTAAGAGATGTTTTTTTCATTTACCCTTTGAATAAACTGCAAAAACAAAATAATAATAATAAAGAAAAAAAGAAAGATTCAGTCGACTTGATGCTGTCTCTATTAGGTCCTATTTTTTAGGAAACTAAGCTCTTCTTTATCAAGGAGTAAAGATTTCTGCTTTAAAAAAATTGGTGAGTTATGACTTTAGCTAAATGACTTCCTTTGTAATAATCTGTAATCTCATTTTGTGATATCAAGTGCTTTAAACTTTTAATGTTTGACAGATTTTCCAAAATTAAATTCTAAATGCAGTCTTTTAACCTCAAACTGACTTTTAAAGGTCCAAGAGAAACATATTTGGCTTAGTTGATACATTAAAATCATACAGGAAGCATTGCCAAATATAAAATGGTATTTAACTTTCTTTGGGATATATTTCTATAAATGTGCTATTGCTATGTGTTCCAAAATTGTATAATATTCTTATAATTTTAATATTTCTTGGTATATATTAACAATAATCATTATAATTATTTTATATTAGTGTGTGCCACAGAAATGATCAGATTTCCTTGTCAGTTATATCTCTGACCGTGGATATCTTTTGTCATTCACAATTATTATTTTACTTTGTTCCTTATCAAAATGTTGTTTATAATCAGCTATAGGACTCTGATGGTGTATTAGTCCATTCCCACACTGCTAGGAAGAGGTAGTTGAGACTTAATAATTTATAAAGAAAATTTAATTGACTCACAGTTCTGCATGACTGGGGAGGCCTCAGGAAACTTAGAATCATGGCAGAATCACCTCTTCACAGGGTAGAAGGAAACAGAATAAGTGCCAAGTAAAATGGGTAGCCCCTTACCTAACCAGCTATTGTCCCTGCTGGAGTACAATGGGCAACTCACTGAGAGAAGGAGTTCTCATGAGAACTCACTATCATGATAACAACATGGGAGGAATATGTCCCCATGATTTAGTTACCTTTCACTGGGTCCATCCCACCACATTGTGGGGACTATGGGATTACAACTCAAGATAAAATTTGGGTGGGGCCACAAAGCCAAACCGTATCAGACGGATACTTTTAAATGAAGGTTTCTGATAGCTTTGGAGATTGTCCCATTAAAATAGAGAGAGAGAAAAAAAAAAAAACCTTCAGAGATCTGATGTATTCATGAGGATTTTTGACCCAATATCAAGTAGAACAAAGGTTAATTGCATGAACTGAGCTAATAGAAGACTAAAATAATTTTTTGTGTGACCTTTTTTATCTGAAACATTGCTGATTCTTTTCAGTTTTTGGGTTGTTTACAGCTTTAAATAATTGAGTAAAATACGCTCTTGTGAGCCAAATTTAAAGCATATTTCTTTCTTTCTACCTGATTTCTCCAAAATTTGAAAACTATTTTTCAGTATTCTTAATTTATGACAATATCATTATTTGTATGGTTTCAATAAAAATCTCCTTTCTTTTGTAACAGGACACAATTGGAGACTACTATTTTACTAACGCTTTGACTAGAATGAAATATTTAAAGAGATAAGCAAACTGTTTTAAGTAATTGCCATTGACTTGTAGAGCCAATAAAAGATCCTTTAAAAAACTGGCCTTGTCCCTTACCTACACAACTCTTTTACAGGGTTTCCAACCTGTGATAAGTAAAGAATGTTATTTTCTGACAGGCCCAGGAACCCCAAGTTATCTTGAGACTAAGAAGAGAGGCATTCACTCAATTCATACAGATATCTGCAGGTGCAAATAAATTGACTAGGCTTGGGGTCTTTAAAAACTCTAATCTGGCTGGATACAGTGGCTCACACCTGCAATCTCAGCCCTTTGGAAGGCCGAGGCAGGTGATCACCTGAGGACAGGAGTTTGAGACCAGCCTGACCAGCAAGGTGAAACCCCATCTCTACTAAAAATACAAAAATTAGCCAGGCATAGTGGCAGGCGCCTGTAGTCCCAGCTACTTGGGAGGCTGAGGCAGAAGAATCGCTTGAACCCAGGTGATGGAGGTTGCAGTGAGCTGAGATCATGCCACTGCGCTCCAGCCTAGGTGACAGAGTGAGACTCCATCTCAAAAAGAAAAGAAGGCTGGGCGTGGTGGCTCAAGCCTGTAATCCCAGCACTTTGGGAGGCTGAGGCAGGTGGATCACGAGGTCAAGATATCAAGACCATCCTGGTCAACATGGTGAAACCCCGCCTCTACTAAAGATACAAAAAATTAGCTGGGCATGGTGGCGTGTGCCTGTAGTCCCAGCTACTTAGGAGGCTGAGGCAGGAGAATTGCCTGAACCCAGGAGGTGGAGGTTGTGGTGAGCCTAGATTGTGCCATTGCACACCAGCCTGGGTAACAAGAGCGAAACTCCGTCTCAAAAAAAAAAAAAAAAAGAAAGAAAAAAAAAGAAAAGAAAAAAAAGTCTGACCTGAGATTCCTTAAACAAAAAAAAAGCCAATTAAAAGAAAAGAGCCTATATAGAAAAGAATTACTCTTGCTGCACTTTATACAAAGAATCAGGCCACGTACAATACAACTAAAACTTCTTTAAAATAAATTCATCCTACTATGATTTGTCTGATAAAAATGGAGGACTAAGGAGAGAAAAATTATGTTTTAAAAAAAAATTATAAAACATCTATTCTTAGACCTTACCTTATCCATTGTTTTTCAGTTTTATTCTTTGTTAAAATGTATTTGGACTGAATCCTAAGTTCTTTCCTGGCTACAAGTCTCCAAACTACTGTTCATATTTTTTCCCTTTTTCTTTCATTTGCTCCCATTTTTTTTTCTCATTTGGAATCTAGAAATTAAAACTAGAAATTTTAATTTAAAATTAAGTTTAAATTAAAACTGTGCTTTTCTTAAAGTTCTGCCAAGTGAAACTAGAAACTTAAACTTTGGGAAAAGTAACAGCAACTTATTTAAATATATAAACCACTTTTGTGCCTGCCTAGTGATGCATGGACTTCAGAATAATATAGCCTACATCAGTTTTCCAGGATTACTTTCCCCTTTTGTTGTCATGATTGTAAGGCTGGTTGCCTCGCCAGGAGCTCGAACACGCCCATCCCTCTCCACGCCTGAAAATTACGTCAACAGGATTTGCACTCAACACCAAACTCTGCTCTAGGCCCTAACGCCCACCTCTGCACCCTGCACCAAGATCTGCACTTGGCACTAAACTCTGCACTCGGCTCCTAGCTAGCCATTGGATAACCTGCCAAAATTTAAAAGAAGTCCCACCAAAACCTGCCCAATAGCACAGCCCGCTCACCAGAAATCCCTCCTACCTACCAATAGCAGCTTGCCCCGTTCATGTCCTGTGTCTCCACAGCCAATCAGAATACCCTCCCTCCCTATAAAACCCCAAGCCTGAGAAGAGCCGGGCATGAATTTTCTGGCCCCTTTCCCCAGGACCACCGAACCTCGTCTGGGAGTTAAATAAATTGGCATTTAATTTTCTTGTGCTGACCTCAGTTTCCTCATTTTAAACTCGGCAATAAACCTCACAAGAGAAATAAACCTTACAATGATCTTTCCTCCTTTTTTACTGGTTTTCTTTCTCTCTTCTGTCCTCTGTTTTTCTCTGTGGGACATGAGATTTCGCAACCTGCTAAGAATGATCCTTCCTAAAATGAGGGACCTAAGCATCTAGAAATAAACTGTCCTAGTGACAAGGGATCAGACCAAACCTGAGATAAGAGTCTCATTTTCTTCTACAATGCTTTCCCTGAAAGATTTGGAAGAATCGGAAGGGGAGGGGGATGTGAAAAGAAAATAAAATCTTGGGACCTCAAACTCACCAGGTGAAAGGGAAAAGTTGAGTTTGGAAACTGAGTCAAACTTTTGGAAGTTGCCTTTCTTCCAAAACGTTTGGAAACTCTCTGTCTTTTTGTTCCTAAACAGGTGGCCTCCCTCACCCTGACATTGCAAATTAACAGTTTATCTTCACAGATGCAGGAGAAGAGGGGAACAGAAATCGTCCCTCCATCTACCCTGGAATGAAGGCATATTTTGACTTCTTCCTCTAATTTACTTTGTCTTATGTAAAGTGAAGATTTATGGAGCATAACACAAATACACAATTGACTTTTCCTCTGCTCCTTGCTTCTGGCATGCAAGGTGTAGATTCAGTGAGCACTAATCAAAGCCTCTAAAGAATGCAACCACTTGGTGTGGGGGTGGGGTGGCAGCAAAAAAGAGAAAAAAAAGAATGTAACCACTTGTCTTATTTGTCTACCCTTCCCCTTTCTTTAACTTTTCTCCTTCCCCTCCTGCCAGCTTTTTCCCCTTTAAGTACTGAAGCCTTCAAAACCCACTTTAGGAAAAGTGCAGGCCTCAGAGCTTTCTGTCTCTTTTTCCTGAGTGTGTCTTCAACCTTGCAAAACAAACCTCTAACTTGATGGAGACCTGTCTCAGACATCCTTTTCTGAGTTTACAACTTCCACTCCTGTGCAAAGCTAAACTCCCATCTGTGTTCTAGATCCGTTGTGAACTCTGTCTTTTCACACCCCAGGTCCATCGATGTCTCTTCTTACGTGTGTATCTTCAACCTTTTTTCCCTGGTAGCTCTGTCAGCAAATAAGCATGCTCTATTCTTTTGCATTTTCAAAGAAATTGCAAACTCCCTCCCTCAACCTCACCTCTCCTTTCAGCTACTGTTTTATCTTTTTTACTCCCTGTTCAGGGCCAAACTTCTTAAGAGTAAACCCCATTGACTACTGGCCTCCCACTGACACCTCCACTCATGTCTTCTTCATGCTACAGATACCACGTGGTGAGGTTATATACCTGTAGACTGAACAGTCTTAGTTTTGCTTGAACTCTCTGTAGCATTCAGATTACAATTAACTATGCGCTACTTGTTAACACATCTCGTGCCACACGTGGTAACTGCTCTGGCTGCTTCTCCTCCACCAATGCCTTAAAGATTTTCAGTTCACAGGCTGTTTTCCTCCCCACCTGGGTAGTCCTGCCTAATTCAATTACTATGCACCAGCTCAGAATCCCTAGCTTCTTATCTTCACCTTAGATCTGTCTCTGGAGCTCCAGGCAGGAACAACTTGGCCGCCTATTGATTGGACGGCTCTACCTGGATATTTTACAGACACATCAAAATCAACATGTCCCAAACTGAACAGCTTTTCCTCCTCACCAAACCTGCTCCGCCACCAGTGTTCCCAACGAACTATGCAGTAGCACAACAAAGTCGCCTCAGACAGGATCCTAGGCATCGGGTCCTCCACACTGCTGTCGCCACTCTCAGATCCAGTGAATCTCACGATCTCATGTCTTGTGGATAGTCTAGTCCCTAAACATGTGCTTTGAAAAATAACTAATTTTGATTAGATCACACATCACATGGTACAAAACGCAAAGAGCACACAAGGTATCTGGGAAGGTAAGCTCTCCTATCTCTGTCTCAGCCTCTTGCTTGTTATTCTCAGGGACATTCACTGATAAAAAGTTTATTATTTATCCTTCCAAAAATGCTCTAGGCATTTCCAAGGATATGTGTGTATGTGTTTCTCTTAAAATACATACAATAGCATGGTCGATTAGAAAAAGTTGTTGCGTTTGTCACTTCAGACATTTTAAAGTATCTCATTCTGCACATGATTTGACCATGGTGTATTATGTTTACTCCTGGGTAGTGCTATATTCTCCTTCCTCTTGGGCTTCATAGTTTCTGGACTTTTCTACCCCGCTGTCTCCATTTCCTCTTCATCTTTGTTACTTTGATTCATCCTATTGGTCTCAGCTTAAAGATCATACACTTAGGGTGTGTGCATGTGCACCTGTGTGCTAAAAGAGGGGGCTCCCTGACTCCTAGGTTAGGTGAAAGACCACCTGCTTTATGTGGTGAGACCACCTGTATTTTCTTTTTATTACACGCACTGAAATGTATTGCACTTATTTGTTTAAATGACCGTTACCCTCACAAAGGTAAAGATGATGTCCATCTGATTCACCCTTGTATTCCCAGCATCTGGCATAATTCCTAGTATGATGTATTATGAAATAAATATTCATTAACTGAATCTGGGAATGATTGATTTATCTTTATTCTAACTTTTCTCACTGGCCATACATGTTTCCACTTTGTTCCACTTCTCAAAGGTGCTAAAAACATAGCTGCCTTTTGAGTGAGGTTGTAGTAATTAAAGATGACCACATAATACGAGTGGAAACGCTTTAGAAAGAATAAAAACCAACGCAAATGAGATTACTAGGAAATTTTTTAGCCTAAATATGCTTGTGAGTGAGTGTGTGTGTGTGTGTGGATGTGAGACAGAGAGAGAGAAAGGAGGAGGAAGAGGAAAAAGGTGGCAGAAGAGAAGGGGCAGGAGGGGGGCTGACAGAGAAGAGAAGAGGAAGAAGAAAAAGATGAAGAATAAGTAAAGAGGAAAAGGGGGAAAAAGTCCTTCAGCAAAGCTCTGGGACAGCGCTTACTGCTCAGGCCGGTATGTAGATAATCTGCGAGATTCCACTTCTGCCCTCAGGAGCCCAAGTGAGAAAGGAAGAGAACACACACGCACAACACACGCTCACTGCAGGGCAGATATGGGAAGTGAACCATGTGCGAAACTAGATGCAAATGTCTCTTCCTGCCAGGCAGCTGTAAGGCTTCTTTATAGGGCTCCAGGGACAGGGAGTAGAAGAAATACTCACTGCTCTTTCTGCCTCAGGATTCTTCAGGTACCCACAAATGGTTACAATTCTTCCCTCATGTCTCCTGCTGTCCCTGATTATTTCAGAATATAGAATGCAAAAAAAAAAAAAAAAAAAAAAAATCATGCTCCTGAATGCCTCGTAGGCCAGAGGGAGGAAAGCAATGAGAAGATGTTGGTCTCCCAGGCATCACTGGACTTTTAAAATGCCTCCCTCCCTCAGACGTTTGCAAAGTATGTTATGGACAAGGTGCTCCGTTCTGGTAAGGACAGTTGAGTTGCACCTGAGAAATGGCTCTGCCGGCAGCCTCAAGAAGGGAGGCCAGAGGGCAGCATTCCTCCCTCTGTGTTGCACCTGAAGAAATGCAAGATAAGGTCTGGGCAGAGCTGAGCGAGAGGAAGAAAAGGAGGCAGGAGAGAGCATGTCAAGGAAGGGCTGCCTTAGCAGGTCCCTAGAGCAGGATGGCATTGCATGGTAGGGCAGAGAAGAGACATTGGCATCCAAAAGGCCTCTCAGCACGCCTGAGCTCACTCCAGGAAAAGCTGAGAGAATGCCTTCATGTGGAGTCAAGGAGCATTTACTCCTCTGAGCCAGGCTCACTTGTTTCTTAAAGATTAATGAGGAAAAGATGAGAAATGAAC